CCAGAGGGGCATACGGATGTATGTTATTTTTCTGGTGAAAAGTAAGCAAAGATATACATAAATATTTTTCCATATTTCTTTATAATTTTTGCTAATAATTTTGATATAAACATTTTTTATTATATATACAATACATATAATAATATATATATAATAATAAATTACATTTTCTTTGTTGATATTTTTTTAATATAATTTTTTTATATAAAAACAATAATTAAAAAACATAGAGCATTAAAAGAGAAAATAAAATATAATTAAAAAATAAACAATTAATAATATTTATAGAAGAGGGCTTATTACTTGTGGATCTGATGGAGATGTTCGATTTTGGTTGAATCTAATGGATGATGATCCAAATGCAAGCTGTGTCTCAGAACAAGCTATATCAGTCATATCAAAAGTATAAATAGTTAATTATAAAATTTTTGTTTATATACTTAATAATGTTTATAAATTTTCAATAAATATTTTTCATAAATATTTTAATAATTTTAGAATGGGAAAATATTTGTTGGCAATGATAATAATACAATTCAAATTCTTAATTATCCAGATCTTGAAAAAGATGGAATAATTACTAGATTTTCAGCACCAGTTTCAGCATTAGCAACAACAAAAAACAGTAACATTATAGTATCCGGAGGATGGTATGTAAAATAAATATATGATATTTTGATAATTTTTAATTAACATAATTAATATTTAATATATATTATATTATATAGTGATATGAGAATACAAGTAACTGATATTATTACCTCAGATAATATAGAATTAATAGGTCATGAAGCTCCTATATTAGGTTTATCTTTGGATCCAAAAGAAGAATTTATAGTAAGATATACTTTATTTTTTAAAATATGATATTAACTTGTTTTTATATTACAATGCTCCTTGTAATATTTAATTTATATAGGCATCATCAAGCGCAGATGGTTCAATTCGAGTATGGAATATTAAAGAAAAATGTGTTGTAAATATTTGGACTAATGTTATACCAAAGTGTAACTCATTTTTTACAGCTAAAATATATGGTGTACCCTCATTTCATCCAAAGAATGGAAGTTATCTTGCATATCCTAATGTAAAAGATGTAATTATAATTGAAAGATCTTCTTGGAAGGAATTGTTTCGTTTAAAATGTATTAATATAAAAACTGTATGTTTTTTTTCTCTTTCTTTCTTTATATATATATATATAATATTAAGCAAGGCATTTATATATATATGTATATAATGTATATATATTCTATAATATTATTTTCACTATAGGAAATTAATATATGTAAATTTTCTGAATGTGGCACATTATTAGCAGCTAGTTCAATATATGGAGAAATAATTGTTTGGAATGTAGAAAATAAAGAATTAATTGGTTATATTGAACATCAACAAAATGCTAAAATTACTGCATTAGCTTGGAATATTGATAAATCGGATGAAATTGCATTTTGTGATTCTTTAGGTCAATTAGGATGTATTGATATTGTAGGTATATATATAAGACACATATTATTTAATAAATTTGGAGAAAAATTATTATTTTTATGTATTTAGATAATTTCTGATAAAGCAACAAATAATGAAGTATGTTTAGAAACAAATGGAGATGTCAAAGATAGTAATGTTAATGTCTTAGAAGAAGAAGATGATGATGATGATGGAGAAAATGTTATATCTCTAAATAAAATTAAAGCATTAGTGGAGCTTGATGATGATCAAAAAAGTCATTCTGATGTATTATCTGAAAAATCTAAACATGATACAAATGCTTTTATACCTGAAATTCATTTACAATCACCATTTCAACCTGGTTCATCTCCAATACATTTATTATCTCGTTTTATGGTAAAATTTTCATTGATATAATATTATTATATAATATTATATATCAATCTTATAATCTAATTAAAATATTAATTCAAATAAATGTTAATTCAAGGTATGGAATGATATAGGAATGGTAAGGTGTTTTACTTCTGAAGATGGAGAAGAATCTAGTATTGAAGTAGAATTTCATGATGTAACAATTCATCGTAGTATGCATATTAATAATTATTTAAGACATACAATAGCTGCTTTATCATCACAAGCATTTGCATTAAATTGTCCATTAAGTAATGATATTCGTAGTAAACTTGTTGTAATAGTATTACAAGGTTAATCCATTTATAATTATTGCAAATTTTATTCTAAATTAATATAATTAAAATAATAATCAATTAAAAAATAGGTTGGGGTTCAGGAAATAAAGAATGGTTTTTAGATCTACCCGAAGGTGAAGAAGGGCATTGCATTGCAGCTGGTGATAATTTTGTAGCTCTTTCAACATCTAGAAGATACTTAAGAATTTTTACTGTAGGCGGCACACAACGTGAAATCGTTGCTTTGCCAGGACCTGTAGTAGCAATGAATGGATTTAAAAATAATTTAGTACTTGCTTATCATAATGGAATAGGTATTTATTTTATATTTTGCAATTATTTTTATTTTTATAATAGACTACTGATAATATGATATTTAAATGATATTTAAATAGGGATATCAGGGGATCAATATATGAATTTACTATTAATTCAAATTCAAAGATTAAATTTATATAGTAAGACATTAAGTCTTCCATTATCACCATCATCAGAATTAATGTGGTTAGGAATTACTGATCTTGGATCTCCTGTAATAATGGATGCTGATGATATTATTAAAGTATATAATAAAAAATCTTCTTTATGGAAAGTAGCTAGTGATATGAATGAACAGGTAATAAATATATTTAATAATATTAAATATTTTATATTGCATTAATAATTTTAAAATAGTCTAAAGGTAAAACAGATCATTATTTTATAATTGGAATAAGCGAATTACAAAGTATCGCTCGCTGTGTTTTATGCAAAGGAAGTCATTATCCTCCTACTACACCTCGTCCAGTAATCACAGAAGTATCTTTATATCTTCCACTTTGTGAACTTGAAAGTGAAAAAACGGAGAAAGAATTGAACTTATGGAAATTAGGAACTAATCCTTTAGAAGAGAATGAAGCAGTGTTATCTCTTATTGCGGTATATTTAATATTTGATTCATTAAATTTATTTATATTAACTATATATCTATTCATTCATTTCATTCATAGCTTGCTTGTCGAAGTAATTTGGAGTATCGAGCAGTAGAATTATGTGAACAAATTGCTTCAGAAAAAGTTATAGAATTAGCAATAAAATATGCACGAAGAATAAATCGAATAGCATTATCTAATAAATTGGAATCAATTGCTGATATAAAAGAAGAAGAAAAGGAGAAGAATATAGAAAATAGAGATAATGATGATGAAAATATTAATAAAAGTGATGATGAATCACTGATAGATAATGATGTTGAAGAACTTTCATTAAATATTATAAAAAAACCAGATATAGAAATTAAACCATTATCTATGACTGAAGCATTATCAATAAAAAGAAATAATCCTTTTTTAAAAAGCGGAAATTCTCCAGGAACAAAAGGTATTATTATTATTAGAATAAAAAAAAGGAAAAATTTCTTTTTATTTCAATTGTATTTATAATAATTATTGAATTCTATTTTTAATATTTAAATAGGATTAGCTGGTTTAGATATAGCTCCACAGAAGATACAAAAATTAACTTTATCATCAGTTTCTTCGAAGTTGAAGACAAAAGAAATAAAAGATGTAGTAAAAAAAGAAACATTCATTAGTTGGTATGCTAAAAACAAAAAAAATTTACAGGAAGAATTTCCTGATTTAAGCCCTGCAGATTTGACAAAATATGCGTTAGCAAAATACAAAGAAAAAAATGAAAGTTCACAAAATAATAATATTTTGACATCTTTAGAATCAAAAAAAAGAAAATTAAGTCCCGAAAATGAAGAAAGCAATAAATCAAAACGAACTTCAAGTAAAATACTTAGCTCATTTGCATTTGAAAAATAAATATTTATTTATATTTTAAAAATACAATAAAGCTTTTATAACAAAGAATTTTAAGGAAACTTGTTCAATACATGATAGGAATGAGTGATGAATTTTTTATTTCATGTAATTGATTATTTTATTGTTTTATAATTTATTTAATTAATATTTTTTAATAATTTATATTATAATTTTTTATTATTATATTAATAAAAATTAAAATATTCTATTGTTTTATTATAAATTATTTATTAATTTGTTAATTTATGCCTTACAAATTTTGTTAGTCTCATTAATTTTTGAAATTAAATCTAACTATATATATAAGTATATATTTAATTATATATTTATTTTGTGATAAATATACATATAAATATTCTCTTCTAAATTGTCCAAAGATAATAGATAGAAAGATACAAATGAACTCGTGAATTGTAAGCAATTAATGAAATATTATTGCATTATTATACATTATAAAATAATCAAATATCGATAAGGTAGGTATTTCTTAATTATATCACAAACAAGATTTCATTTGTGATCTATATCGATAAAGCAGATAAAGAATAGTATTGTAGATCTTTTCAGTTTGCTCAAGTCTTTCAACAGAAGTTGAGACTTTCAAACATTCGTGCACGCGCAATATTGTGCAGCATTAGAAATTTCATATGGAAATAAAATTTTTCAACAAAAGTTTTTAAGTACGATGCTCGAAAAAGCGATGAAAGGTAAGTCAATATATTATATCTGGCATTGTTCTACATTTATTCATGTTAGTATTTCAAATACGACTCAATCTAAATATACATTCAATTTGTGGTATAATTCGCGCATCTTTAATTGCATCACCAAAAGAATGTGAAAACAATTGAAATTCATTATATATGCTAAATTTAAAATTAAAAAATCAATTAAAATATTTATAATAAAATTTTTACATATATTAAATAATTACTTATATTAAATTATATTAAATAACTACTATATTAATTATATTAAATAACTATTATATTAAATAACTACTTAAATTAAATAAAATAAAAAATAAAAATTAAATTAAATAATTACTTATTTCCAAAAAGTATGTATTCTATTATTATTTTTATTTAAATTTATCAAATATAAT